ATGAACAAGAAGACAACAATCTTGTTGGAGTAGTTAGACGTATTTCAGAATCCTCTAAAGAAGAAAAGAAAGAAGATTGGCTTCGTATAACGATCTTCCTCACCTTTGTCAAGAGTGGAGACAATCTTTGGAAGCTAATAATTAATGGTAGTAGCAACATGAATGTTGTTTCTGCAGCAACTGTTGAAAGGTTCAATCTAGTTGCACACCCTCATCCTCAACCATACAAGATTGCCTGGTTAAATAAGATGACTCTTCAGGTAGAACAAAGAGCTCTTGTTTCTATTTCTTATGGGTCTTATGTTGATGATATTTGGTGTGATGTTGTTCCTATGAACGTTACAACTATTTTGTTAGTCCGACCATGACTTTATGATAGGGATGTATACCATTGTGGGAAAGAAAATACATATTACTTTCTATTTAGTGGAAAGAGAATTGTTATGAAACCTATGTCACTTGATTTGATCAAGAAGCGTACTACCCCTCAAAAGGCAGTTCCACCTTAGAAACAAGTAGTTGAACAAAAGAAGCAACCTCTCTTGTTGTCCAAGAAGCAATTTGAGGAGGAGATCAAAGAATGAGGCCTTGTTTATTCCCTAATAGTGAAAGAAGCGAATAAACCAGCACATGCCCTTATTTCAGAGGTGCTTAAGGAGGTTGGAGGCTTGTTGGCTGATTTTTCAGATTTGATCCCAGAAGAGTTGCCTAATGAATTACTACCTCTATACGATGTCCAACATGCAATAAACTTGATTCTTGGGTCCCAACTACCTAATTTGTCTGTATACCGAATGAATCCCATAGAACATGCCGAGTTGAAGAGGCAAGTGGATGATCTGTTGAAGAAGGGCTTCATTAGAGAGAGTTTCAGCCCATGTGTTGTACCAGCTCTACTCACTTCCAAGAAGGATGGCTTATGGAGGATGTGTGTTGATAGCAAAGCAATCAATAAGATTACAATCAAGTATTGGTTCCCTATTCCACGCTTAAATGACATGTTGGATATGATGACCAAAGCTACAATTTTCTCTAAGATTGATCTTAGAAGTGGATATCACCAAGTTAGGATTCAGCTTGGAGATGAATGGAAAACTACTTTTAAGATGAATGGTGGCCTCTATGAGTGGCTAGTTATGCCTTTTGGCTTAACTAATACTCCTAGCACTTTCATGAGAGTCATGACTCTAGTATTTTGTCCTTTTATTGGTCGTTTCTTGGTTGTTTATTTATGACATTCTTATATAGTCATACTCCTGATGATCATCTTGACCATTTATGTCAAGTGATGAGAGTTTTACGCCTAGGAAAAGCTCTACATCAACTTAAAGAAGTGCTCTTTTATGACACCTACTGTTATCTTTTTAGGATTTGTTATATACTTTGAAGGTGTCAAGGCTGATCTTTACAAGGTGAAAGCTATATTTGATTGGTCCACCCCCACTAACATCCATGAAGTGAGAAGTTTTCATGGATTGGCTACTTTTTTCAAGTGTTTCATAAGGAGTTTCGGCATTATTATGGCACCAATTACAGAAGCTATGGAAAAGGGGGAATTTGTTTGGTCTAAGGCTGCAACTAAAGCCTTTGAGACTATCAAGCAAAGGATGACTGAGACCACAGTGTTACAATTGCCCAACTTTTCAAAAATCTTTGAGGTGTTTTGTGATGCTTCCCAAGTTGGAATAGGTGGTGTGCTTATGCAAGAACGACGCCCTACAACTTTTCACAATGAAAAGCTTAATGTAGCTAGACAAACGTACTTCACATATGACAAGGAATTCTATGCTATTGTGCAATGTCATTAACATTGACGTCATTATTTAATTTCCCGAGAATTTGTTTTGTATTCAGATCATGAGGCACTCAATTATCTCAACTGTGATAAGCATCTTAGTAGTCGACATCATAAATGGGCTGAATTTTTAGCAGAATATAACTTTGTGATTACGCATACAACTGGTGCCGAGAACAGAGTATCTGATGCATTAAGCTTAGTGGTGTATATACTTCATTCTATGTCTGTACAGGTTGTGGGGTTCGATCATCTAAAACAAGATTATGCTAGTTACAAGGATTTTAGCATCATTTATGGTTCTTTATAGGTTGGACGAGAATCTGAATGGTGAATATCCTGGCTTTTCTATCCATGATGGTTATTTGTTCAAGGAAATTTGCTTGTGTGTTCTAACATTTCACTACGTGATTATGTTATATGGAAATTACATGCAGGCTTTTCTATCCATGATGGTTATTTGTTCAAGGGCTTTTCTAGGCATTTTGGTCGAGACAAGACCATTGCTATGGCAGAAGATTGCTTTTATTGGCCTAGCCTTAAGGCTGATGTTGATCGTGTGATCAAATAGTGTAGAATTTGTCAATTGACAAAAGGGAGAAAGAAAAATACAGGGTTGTACACCCCTTTACCAATTCCACATGAGCCTTGGCAAGACCTCTCTATGGATTTTGTCCTAGGTCTGCCCAAGACAGTAAGGGGTCATAATTCAATTTATTTTGTGGTAGACATGTTCTCAAAAATGGTCCACTTTATTCCTTGTAGTAAGACATCAGATGCCTTACATGTGGCAAACCTATTCTTTAGGGAAATTGTTTGTTTACATGGTGTTCCTATTACTATTATTTTTTATTGCGATGCCAAGTTTATGAGTTACTTTTGGAAGACACTTTGGAACTTCTTAATACAAAACTGAAGTTCTCATCTTCATTCCTTCCTTAGACTGATGGCCATACTGAGGTAGTTAATAGGAGCCTCGGTGATTTGCTACGTTTCTTAGTTGGTGACCATACTTCTAGGTGGGATCTCATCTTCCTATGGCTGAATTTGCTTACAACAATTTAGTTAACAGGTCATCTGGAAGAAGTCCCTTTGAGATAGTTACTGGAATTCAGCCTAAGAGGCCTATTGATTTAGTGTCTTTACCACAAGACACCGGGACTAGCATAGAGGTTGAAGGCTTTGCTCACCACATGAGAGAAATCCATGATGAAGTTAGACACAAGATTTCTCTTAGCAGTGATGCATACAAAGCCAAAGCTGATTTACATAGGATGCCTAGGTGATTTTCAAGAAGGTGATATGGTTATGGTGTGTGTATGTCTTGAACGCTTTCCTAAGGGCTTTTATAAGAATCTTCACTCCAAGAGTGCAAGTTCCTACAAGATCACTAAGAAAATTAGTTCTAATGCCTATGTCCTAGAGCAGCCAAGCGACACGGGAGTTAGCCCAATCTTCAATGTTGAAGATCTAAGTGCATTATCATGGCCATATACTGATGTGCCTAAAGACATCATTGATGAGAAGTTGATTTCGACAACAAGTGGGGGTTATCAAAAGTTTCTTGTAAAGTGGAAGAATCTACTTGTTTTAGAATGTTCATGGATTACAGCTGAAGACTTGTATCATCTTAATCCAGAACTTTTTGAGCAATACCATGCCTTTAACTTGCCAAGCTTGAGTGCTTTCAAGTCGGAGAGATGATGGGATCGGTCCAAGCATTATAAGACCTATTCTCATAAGAAGAAGGTTAGTAAACAAGTTCTGATTTGGCATGGGGAAGACTCTTGGGACTTGGACTGATCTAGTCAGGGGTATTTTCGTCATTTTGACCAGTTCCATGTGGGCTTGGGCTATATCATCTTGTTCCTCTAGCTTAGTAGTACTTCTCTCTTTCAATTTTGCATTTATTTGCATTAGTAGGTAGAAAGTTATTTTGTTTCTTGATGCACAAGACAAGGAGTGGCTTTTTTGTAATTATGGTGAACAGTATCCCGGGCTACACAAGTCACTCTATAAATAGATTATTCTCTTCCTCTTGAAGCTAATGAAAATTTCTTTAGAGCTCTCTTGCAAGTTTGCTGTATGGAGTGATTCCTACAAACCCTAGAGTGATTCTTTGGGATTTCTCTCTTGTCTCTTTCTCCATCTTTCTGTCTTGTGATAGTTTGTTCCAGCCCTACTGCATCAACAAAGAGGAGATCTAGATCGTGATGGTAGAACATTTGTTGGTGGTACACATTTTGCCATTATTTTTTGAAGCAGATAGATTATTTTTGTCTGCTTTTTACTTGGAAATTAGAAAAGAAAAGGTATGGGGTTCTGTTAATGGTGACCTATTATTGGACCTATATTTGCATTTGCATATTTGCATTTTGAGCCTTTGTGCTTTGATTTGCAAATGATATTTACTACCTGGCCAATGTTTTCTTGGAATCATGAATGTAGCTGTGCAGGAATGGCGTTAAATGTGTGTAGTAGTCTTTATTTTGTTTTGTCTTAGGTTCTAGGCCTCTGTTTTGGTATTTTGCTAGCATTATTACTCCATAAGATGCTTCTGCGTCGACTTAGATGGCCTTGAGTGTTTTGCATCCAAGGTTGCCTGAGGAAGTGTGCCTGCATATCAAGTATACTTATTGTCATTGTGCCTTGTCATGTTGGAGATGGTAGTATCACTTAAATAAAGGATGGTGCCAATTGCTCGGGGGTCCCAAATTTCAGCGTGCAATGAAACCAACTTGGGGTTACAGATTACAACTATGAAACCAAACAAGAGCTTGCCATTGGGATGTTTTAATCATTCAGGAAGGTTCTTCTTGCTGTGACATTTTAAATAACAATCTGGCATGAAGTGCTTTAGCGATATCCTATGTAGTAGCCACATCACGCAGGAGGAACACCTTCATCAACACTTCTCTTTTTTAACAATTTCATGCCTTTGATGCCCTAAAAGGTTTTACATTTCTTGGTCGTTTAACATTAAATTTTTGGTTATCAAATCACACCAATTTAGTTATTGTTTCGCTACAACCAAGATTCTGTGTTCTTATTGGAACTCTTAAGAAGAACCCCATGTGTTTCTGTTGTACTGGTCTAAATTCTCATATATCAACTGCATGCCATCTGTTTTATTTTTATTAATTTAGATTGTTCTTGCCGAGTTAATGATCTAACACTGAAGTGTAAATTTTTGTTGTTGATGCAGTTTCTTCAAAGGGTGTTCAGCATTGACACCATTGTGAAACCTCTTCCTCCTGCATTAGCTTACAATGTTTCCCGTAACTTGAGCTTTTTCACTCGTATTTTTACCCAGTTCTTTGGTAAGTTGTTGTTCTTTATTATTATTGTTGTTGTTGTTATTATTATTGTTATAGAAGTTTCAATTTTCAGTTCCATGGAGAGTTCCCTTTGTTATATTGGTATCCTATTGTGGTGATTTTAACAGTGAGACTGTTGATCATGTGGTCATTCTTTAATTGTATAACAGGTTGGAACCCCATTTCCCATTAAGAAAAACAGAGGAGTTATTGCTAAATGAAAAAGTCCTCTATATCCCTGATTTGGTAAGATCATCAGCAATTACATTCAATGATCTAGCGATTCATCTAATGCTAGCTCTGCAGTGCTTCATTGTTTCTCTAATCCCAAAGAAAATAGCTAGTTTTCCCTGTAGTTAAGACCAACCTCTCTGTCAACCTCTACAAATGAATTGTCATTTTGTGGTCCCCGTCAACTTGTCAAATGCCAGGACCCAGGAACTGTCCTTTCCAAATTCTTCCAAATTCTCTCCACTTGAATTGATCATCTAAGATATATGGGTACCCTCCTAGTAGCCTCAGTTTATGGTTTTTGTTATTATGCCGCATTTTTGGTGCATATAGTCGATTTTTAGTGGTATCCTATGGTTTTCTGTTTTTTTGATTAATAACAAAATATTAAATTAATTAGAAAAAGCATGCAAAAGGAGGAGATAACCTGTCTTATCTCCCCCAATGAAGAAAACACAGAGCAGAAAAGTTAAAGTTGAGCCCAAAACAAAGAAGCCCTATTAACCCCTTGTTTTGCTAACCCATCAACAAAGAGTTTTCTTTTCATTACTGTACACCCACAAACCATTGTTGTCTCCTTTCAGCCATTCAACCACCAGTTTGGAGTCTCCTTCGATGATCAGCTTCCTTATATTTAGGTCCTTAACTCTCTGCACACCTTCTAGTGCTGCCAAAATCTCAGCTCTAAGAGAATCGCCAACTTAAATTGGGCCTGAGAATAGGGCGATTATTATCCCTTTCTCATCCCTTAACACACCTCCAATGCCTGAAGGCCTTGGGTTGCCAATACTTCTCCCGTCAAAGTTCAATTTGTGAAAGCCACTTGGAGGGGGAGGGGGGGGGGGACCAAACTGGGATTGATACCTCCTGGGCTTTTGAAAAAGCAACTTCTTTCCAATTTCTTGACAGATCATCTATTGATACATTGTTGAAGAGATCCATAGATTTAAGCCAATGTATTACCCTAAAACAAATCACTTCCTGAATAGTTTCCTTGTTCCTCTCCTTCCTTGAGAATAATCTGAAATTTCTTTCTTCCCAAATGGTCCATATAATAACAGCCCTTACAAACTGCCACATTATTCTTCCCCTTTTCTTTGGCAATCTAAGGAAGGGTAGAGCAAACAAACTTTTCACACCTGGTGGCGGGGCCCACATGCAATCAAACAAAGAAGAAAACCATTCCTTTAACCTTTAACAAAAGAGTAAGAGATCAATAAGTGATAGCAACTCTCACCATCAACCTTACAAAGAAAGCACCAATAGGGAAACAACCAACTCTTTGGTCTTTTTCTTTGAAGCAAGACAAAGGTGTTGATTCTTTCCAGGTATGCTTCCTCGCAAAAACATCCAATCCTTGGTGGAATAGGTTTACTACACACCTCTTTAACAGGAAAAGATAGAGCCCCACTAAATGCCGGTTGGGCTAGGGAATTGAAGAAGGATGAGCAAGTAAACAAGCCATGAGGACTGGGAGTCCAAATTCTTTTATTAGCTTGGGAGGTATCCAAGAACACCCCATCCAGAACACCCATAAGAGACAAAGTACTACTACTAATTCAGAATCCCTAATTGCTCTCATAGGAGAATTCCCCACCCACACTGGTTGCCAAAAGTTAATACAACTCCTACAATGCAAATCATACCTAATCCAAGGCAAGAACAAAGGAAGAATGGCTTGGATAGATTTCCATGTGGATGCTCTAATTCCAGTGTCCCAGCCATTTGCCACTAACCCATGGATGCTTACCACTACCTTTTCCCACAGCTTTTCTTTTTCATGAGGAAATCTCCAAAGCCATTTGCCTAGCAAAGCTGAGTTCCATTTCTGTGCATTCCCAATCCCCAAACCTCCGAGCTTCTTGCTCCTACACACCACTTCCAACCTAACCTTATAATTCTTTTTTTCCTCTCCTGGTTCCCACAGAAAGTCCCTCATTAGGTTCTCCAACTTCCTTCCTATCCCACTAGGGATTTTAAAAACGGACAAAAAATACACATGTAAGTTTGCTAGAGTGAACCTAATTAAGGTGACCCTTCCTCCCATGGATAAATAATTTTGTTTCGTAGAGGCAAGTCTCTTTTCAAATTTCTCTACCACAGGGGTCCAAAAATTTGCTTTCCTAGGGTTATCACCTAGAGGGAGACATAGGTATTTCAAAGGCTAACTGGATTCCACACCCCCCAAAATATCAGCACACAACCATTTTCCTCTCCTCCGTATTGACTCCAGCAATGCAACGTTTTTCAAACTTAACCTTTAAATTTGACATCTACTCAAAAAGTTGCACCACAGTTTTGAGATTCCTAATCCAATCCAAATCTTCACCATCACAAAAGCAGACTGTATCATTAGCAAACTGTAAGTGAGTAATTGGTACCCCTTCCCCACCAATTTTCCATCCTCTTATTAAGTTCATTGAGTCTGCTTTTGATGTCAATCTCCCCAACACATCTGCTACCAGGGTGAACAGGAAAGGAGAAAGAGGGTTTCCTTGTCTAATACCCCTTAAGGCTTGAATACTTACATGTCCTCTAACATCCCATCACCTCCCTCAAGAAAGACCAGTCCACCATATCAAATGCTTTTTCTAAATCAAGCTTACAAACCACTCCTTGATCTCCTTAAATCCTCCACACATTCATTGGCAATCAGAATTTGATCCACAATTTTCCTTCCCTGCACAAAGGCCCCTTGCTTGGAAGTAATAATGGTGGGAAGAACATGCCTAATCCTGAGAGATAAGAGTATAAGACCTTAGCAATGATTTTATACAAATTCTCTTTCCAACCACCTACTAAGCTCATCTTCTAATGTTGGCCACTCCAAACCTTCTAGCCATATTCTGTCATTCAACAACCTTCTAAATATAGATTTGAAATGATCCACAAAGGCCCCGGTTATATCGTCTTGTTGTGTATAGATTTGAAACCTCACACCTCCAATTTGGAAACAAAATTTTTCCTTCTACGCCCAATTGCCAGTGCATGAAGAAATTTAGTATTCGTATCCCCGTCATTTAACCACTTGCATATCAATTTATGCCTCCAACTTATCTTCTCCTCCACTAAAATGTCTTCTTATTATTTCCTTAATCTCCACCTTTCCTCCTTGTCTCCTTCCTCAACTTCACCCCTTTCCTCTTTCAAGTCAATCTCTTCAATTTGATCAGACACCTCCTGTTTTCTTTCTTCCAGTCTCCCAAACTCCAAAGCATTCTAATCTTTTAATTTATTTTTCAGGTATTGAGGCTTCTTATGGAATTTCATTCCCTCCCACATTACCCTAGGCTCATATTCCTCCCACCATTCCTTTAATCTCCTCAGTTGAAGTAACCACATATTCTCAAATCTGAATGGGGAAGGTCCAACATTCTAGAACTCCTCTTTACAAATCAAAATGGGGTAACTCTTGGAAGGGCCCTAGAAATCAAATTGCCTCAATGTTCTTCCCAATCTGAAGTGAATAGAAATCTATCAAGCTTGGAACACCTAGGGTTGGTTGAAGATCAGACCAAGTGAACCTGCTATGTAAAAGTGGGATCCCTTTCAATTCGAAGAAATCCACAAATTGGTTAAACTTCCTCATGCTAGTTGTCAACCTTTGCCTTGGGTTGTTGGATTCTTTTATAAATCTTATTGCATTAAAATCTCCTCCAATGCAATGCCCCTTCCATAGACCTTTGATATCCTCTAACTCTTTCCAAAGTTCTTTTCTTTCTCTATAATCAGTTGGACCATATAAATTTGTCAATACCCATTTGAACCCATCCCTCACACATTTAAACTTTATAGACACTGAAAACTTGCCAACCAGCTCTTCCAGGCCTACTAAAACTTCACTGTTCCACAATGTCACTAAACCCCCAAAGGACCTCCAAGATGGTGACATGGCCCTAATTCCTCTAGCCTTCCAAACACTCCGTGCCCATTTATTGTCAAATTTTGTTCTTTTAGTTTCCTGTACTAATACCACATCCGGATTTTGCCTCCTGAACAGATCTTTTATTAAAACTCTTTTCCTTGCACTCCCCAACCCTCTTACATTCCAGCTAGATATTTTCATTTTTACTTTGTTGCCTTGCCCCTCTTACCCTAGAATCAATCTATTTGCCTCCTCCCCCCTTTTTTTGATCAGTTATTTGCCCCCCTTTTTTCTATCCCCATTTTACCCTGAAAGCTTTATCACTCTCTACATCCAACTTCAATCTCTCAAGCTTCCTCTTCCTCACCTCGATTTCCTCTTTCTTTCTTTGTAAATACATTTTTAGCTTGCTGGGGTCCTTCAACTTGCATCCTTGTTTTTCTACAATTTCTGCAATTGAATCCTCACTGCTATTTCCTGCTGCACCCTCATCTGTAGAGGGACCTTTCTCTTCTTCACCTTCAACCCTTAACTTTTTCTTGTGGTTCTTTTTCTTTGAGATTACCCACACAATCTCAATAAAATCTCAAGTTCTCTTCAACTTTATAAGCTCCTCCTTAGATACCCCTCCTGCATTTTCTCTTTGCCTCTTTCCACCAATGGCTTCCGCATCAACTTTTCCTGACTGGGCTTCTGGCTCTGGGGCTGGGACAGAACCTGGAAAGACAGCATTGAACACAGAGCAGACGTTAGTATCCAAAACTAAATTGACACAGGTACTTATGATCTGATTCAGGGAGGGCTCTGAACAAGGGAACAAAGGCTCAAGGTTCTTCCCCTGTTTGAGGACTCGGGGTCACCATCCAACTCGGATTGGAGCTCTCTGGAAGGCACACCTATCGCTTGGTCTTCCCTGTGAGTACTTCCTTAACCTGTGGATTGTCCCTTATGAGCTGAATCTTGAAGCGTCTTTTGGTGATCATTAGCTATGTCCTTACAGAATACAGACCCCCGGCGATGTTAATGATTTTGGAACAGATTCTCATTCTGGATTTTGAGTGTGTACCCCTATCGCCTTACCGTGAAGCTCATTGGTCACACCTATTGTTTTAGTAGCCGATTGTAAAGATGTAACTTCCCTGATCTCTCC